CGCATCGCAGCCAAGTTTGTGCCAAGGCTCCTGTCTGAGGACCAGAAGCAGTTCGGCAGTTTTTGGCCTCAAACACCCTGGCCGTCATCCCGCACCCTCCTTATTCGCCGGATTTAGCTCCGTGTGACTTCTTCCTCTTCCCAAAGATGAAAATTCAGCTAAAGGGAAGGCGATTTGAGACGATAGAAGAGATTCAGGCAGAATCGCAGATGGTGCTTGACAGGCTGACAAAGAAAGATTTCCAGGGATGCTTCCAGGCTTGGCAGCGGCGCTGGGATCGTTGTGTTCACTCCCAGGGGAACTACTTCGAGGGTGATGGATGAATTTAATACCTGAGATAAGTGTACGGGTTTTTATACGCGCAGTCTTGAAACCTTTCGATCGCACCTCGTACTTAGGTCCGTAAGTACTGGGGGCCTTCAAATGGATTAAGATGAATGAAACACAAAAGTTCCGTGCCTGTCAAAACACTCAGAACTTATATTTCTACTTCGTTTGTTCTTCTTCCATAGAAATTATTGGAGAGAAACTTCAATTCGGATATTATTGGAATTCTTCTCTCCATATTTTCCTTACTCAGCCCTTGCCACTTCTTCCTGCAGGCACTTAAAAGTTTGCCTACCTTGGCTTGAATTTACGAGACATTTGTTTCACGTGTCGCTACTCTTTTTTGTCTTCCGCTAGATTTTCCTACTGTCTGATGATATTTGTTCCATATTTCATTATTGCACAAACCGGCTGGCTTGAGCAGCCTTATATTTTCATTAAATGTCTTTTATTGGCTTAATTTAATTTTAAAAAAATCAATATTTCGACATTTTCTTCCAGATCCATTCTGCTGTGTTACACCCCAGATACTTAAACGACGTTATATTATTATTATTATTATCCCATATATATATGGCCTTGTAATCCTGGGGTCTCGAGTTCGATTTCCGGCGGTGCCCGAATTTATAACTTGTGTTGGGCAAGGCCGTGGTCTAGGCAACACGGAGTTTTCCTCCGTGGCATCCAAACAATTACTCCATTCACACACAGAAGAAGGCAATGGCAAACCACTTCTGGATCATCTGCCAAGAACGTATATGAACAGGTCCCAGTCCGAGAAAAGGATGGAAGGATCCTGTTCATATGGACCTGTCGGCAGACAGAACACTAAATAATAATAAAAAAAAACACGGGAAAACTGGACAAATTTGCTTAAAATTAAATTACAATTACTTCCAGTCCTTTGGTTGTTTCAACCAATAACATTGATATATTTTAGGTTTTAGTTCAGTAAGATACATCCTTTCACAACATTTCAAGAATTTAGTATATTTACTATTCAATTCAATTCCAACCATTTACACACATCTTGATTCTAAAGAATACATACTCTTACTCTGTGGTCTCAAATTTTTACCACGAAGCTCACTTATTTCCTTTAAAGTCATATGCAACCAGAAACTGTGTGTGTGTTTTATGTCCATGGCTTAGACCACAGTAGTTTTGTGCCTGATTTTGATATCCAAATTATGGGTATCAGGAGTAAGCTGTTGCAAATTATCTTAAGACAAATATACTTTTGTTTCTGAATTTAGAAAGTCGCCCAGATATACTGAGCCTGATGGTTAGGAGGTGACATTTAGGATGACATCAGACATAAAATGTCTGGCCTACAAATAAAAGGCCTTAATTCTGGGTTCTGTTCCATACTGATACCATACAATAGTCACAAGACTTATGTCTCATTATTATTGTCCTGTCATCAACAGTACTGAACTGGCTGAAGAGTGATAAGATGGGCACAGGTTTTGAGAGTAGGATGTGGATAGAACTGACTCAGGATCATATCCAATTGCTAAATTGGTATTAACAGTATTTTATCTTTTATTTCTTTCATCAAAATTATATATCGGTAACACTAACGTGATGGATGAGTTACATTGTTTTCTTTTTAAGTTTGTATTGACTGATATGGAGCCAGCTGACTCAAGTGCAGTTGAAACTGAAGGAAAAGACCGAGCATCCTTCTACACTAATGCAGCAGAGTATTGGTCGTCAGTTCCTCCTACTATTGATGGGGTGCTGGGGGGGTTCGGCTTTGTTTCTCGAACTGACATACAAGGATCAGTGTCTTTCCTGAAAAAATTATTCAAGGTAGGATAAAAAAATAATTGTAAGTTCACTTTACTGTGGTATATATTTTCATTATGAGATTTTGTGTTCAGTTGTGAAGGTTCAATTTCTATTGCTATCTGGTCTCCCATAGTTTCATGTCTATCACTTCTGTCCACCCCTCATGTTCTAACATAACTACAGACTAATTTCCTTTTGTTTAATTTCCATTACTAAAGGTCGCGCGAGAAGTCGTGGCACCCAAATGTGTGATGTGTAAGCTGAGAGAGGGGAGTTCAGTAGTAGTGGGGATCACACAGCCTCACCTGCAGTGATGCACCGATCTAAACACAGCTAGAACTACAAACCAACTGAAGCTGACACCCCTCTAGCGTGTGCTTCAGATGGGTCCATCTCATATGACCAAAATCAGTCCTTTGTGCAAGTGCCAGCACTTTGCTTCTGTAAGTCCCAAATTTTTTGGATGTCTATTTCCAAATTTTAAATAAACAAAAAAAGCAATGATTTTTGATGGTCTCACCAAGAGATTTTTCTGTATATACCTTTCTTTCCAACGTAAAGGTATTTTTCGCTAGTGACTGAAGTGATTTATAAAATTAACTGAAATGGTATAAACTATACAAAAAAAATCAACAGTGAATTAATACTATTTAGTGCAAGAATGCCGTATTTAGTTTCATCGAAATCGGTATCGTAAGGTGGACGCTGTTATATTCGGACGAACGGTGGATGGTCGGGCATGACAAAACTTATTAACGCTTTTCGACTCTTCTCTGTTTAATTCGCCTGCAAATGAACTCTGCGTCTAGAATGCAACTCACGTGCCAAAACGAATAAACTGCTATTAGAATCGCAATAATCTTTAGGAATAGTGAACAAACAGAAATAAAACAAGTTAGTAAATGTACACATAGCGTAACAATTCTACTGCGTTCGCCATAATTTGACATTTGCAAATTGCGTCAGTGACGTAAAGTTTTGTCATAGATCAATGGTCTTTGTGTGGGTGGAGTGTCTGACTCTTTTTTGGTTTGGTGGTGACGTCATCACGAAGGATTTCTGAACCCTAGGAACGGTCAACCACTCATTTCGGCGCCCAGAAACCCAAGTAGGTCTCCACGTAACGTACCCGTTATTATTGTCCGATTTCAACCAAAATTGGAATGTGGAGCTCCCCAACATCAAATTTCATGGAATTTCATTCAGCGATTCTAGGGTTTTGATATGCGATCACACCTAAAAGTCTACCTAGTCAATTTGTGACAGCGTTCGAGTGATGCGCTCCAGAGCTCCGAATGTTTAAGAGTCAAAAGCACTTACGAGGTGCGATCGGAAAGTTTCAAGACTGTTTCAATAGAGGGCGAACCGGATGTAGTACGAGCTTCTGCCGCTAGGGGGTGCGGCCTACATTCATAGTGAATCAGTGTACCAGCCGGCATCATCGAATTAGCATTTGTTTCTTAGTTACGGGCGTTTTGGTAGTGCATTACACCGACCCTCCTGCGATTCCGAATGGCGTGTGCATCAAATTTTGCCAAAGACTCGCCAAAACGGCTACGGAAACCTATGAAATGCTAAAGCAAGCATTTGGGGAGTCCGCAATTGGTCGTGTACAAACTTTTGTGTGGCATTCACGTTTTAAAAATGGCCGAACCTCTGTCGATGATGACGAGCGTTCTGGACGACCATCTTCGAGCACAACGCCCGAAAATGTTACGAAGATTCGGCAGGCCATTCACGAAGATCGACGTCGTACCATCAACGACTTGTGCGACATTGTTGGGATAGGCTATGGGACCTGTCAGCTGATTCTAAAGGAAGAACTCCACATGCGACGCATCGCAGCCAAGTTTGTGCCAAGGCTCCTGTCTGAGTACCAGAAGCAGAATCGACTTCTCGTTTGCCAGGAGCTCAAAAATCTTGCCGGATTTAGTCCTCTTCCCAAAGATGAAAATTCAGCTAAAGGGAAGGAGATTTGAGACGATAGAAGAGATTCAGGCAGAATCGCAGATGGTGCTTGACATTCTGACAAAGAAAGATTTCCAGGCTTGGCAGCGGCGCTGGGATCGTTGTGTTCACTCCCAGGGGAACTACTTCGAGGGTGATGGATGAATTTAATACCTGAGATAAGTGTACGGGTTTTTATAGGCGCAGTCTAGAAACTTTCCGATCGCACCTCGTATATGATAGCCTTCGAAAAACACCACCGAAGCCAAGGTGTGAGATGTCTGTCGTACATGGCACAGAGGTGGTGTTAGCAGGGTCACTACTGACCCCCCTCCCCTTTGGGGCAGCGGGCATCATCCCGTCGTGTTAATGCCTTCCACCCGTATGGGGATTTACGGGTGGAGACTTTAGTGCCCTGGCTCTCGTGGAAAGGAAATGGAACACAAGAAATAAAATAAAAATTGCGGAAGTCATATAAAGGAACTCTGTGACACAGAGTTTCCAACTGAAAGTTGATTTCTCTCGTCACAAGTTGGCAAGACCGCCAAGTCGAAAAAGATGGAAGAAATAACGAATATCATGTAGTCTGAAACGTAATATTGTGTTTTATAAGAATTTTTATTGTCTGTAATTTTTATATTCTAACAGAATCACGTAAAAGAGGGTCGCGAGTGAAGCAGGGAAATTAAATTCCTAGGAATAGAGAACTTTCCCGTCAAACTGACTGACAAAACGGGAAAGAGAAAAATCCCTCATGTCAACCAGAGACATGAGTGGCAAGGCGCAATCCAATGGAACACACGATTTACAAATTTACAAGTCTGTGTTTGCGGTATTCGACATCTCATTGGCACTAGTCGTCATTTATTGCAGATAAAAATTTGTTGTGGCAAGTTTACTTGTATTTTGTTACACACAGATTAAAAGAAAATGATTTAAATAAATGTGATAGATCTTCATGAGATCCCTTCTACTAATTTTTGTTAACATTTTATTTATAAACAGCAAAAGTTCTATTTTAATATAAAATTGTACACAGAAGAATCAAAATTAAATTCAACCCCTACTTTTACTGCGTAATCCTCCAATACCAAATTTAATTGGTATCAGTCCAGTAGTTTAGGAGCTGTCAGCGGAAAGACAGCCAAATGCGCTTTTCTCTATGTGTTTTCACTTCCCGTTATGCAAAGAAATAACAGCACGAACTTCACACAAAACTCGTTCTAATAGACGAGATTACATTACCCTATCACCGAATGTCTTAGTGGTTAGGTATACTACTTCGTATTCGGGACGTCTCGGGTACAAACCTCGGTCCGAAGACTGGCTATCCTGACTGAGGTATTTTTTTTATTGTTTTTCCTTAGTATCTCCACGCAAAATGCAGCAAAAGTACCTCAAATTATGGTACGACCGCTTCCTTCCACATCCTTTCCAGTTCGTTACTAGCTATCAATCTCTCATTAGACGCGAAATAGTCTAGATACTTAAAGCGTTGTTAAATAAATTATAAGTAAATTAACTATTAATTACCCTACCGTAATCAGCAGTTTGCTTAACAGAAGAGGTGAACAGTGTCGCGTATTTGGTACCACTGCTATGATTTCTCACCGTCTCACTACAGTCTCTCCTCACCATAACCAAACTTATCCTCTGCTCCGATTACAGAGCAAAGATATAGGCCTCCACTTCGCTTGTCATGGATTTCATTAGTTCTACCGCCTCCGTATGCTAGCGCTGCAAGCAGTCTATTCTAGTTACTGCAACCTTTTGTCAAGCAACTTTGATCTAAATAATTCAGTACCCCCTGGCACGAGTCTAGTACCGTCTAGCGTTCTGCATGCACAAGTAATAACTTACAGCTATATATTGGTCACGTGGGAAGTTCTCTGTGGAATGATTTATAGCCTGTATTGATTCTTAAAATCAGGTGAATACTGCATTCTGAGAAATGAAAAGAAATTGACGGTTCCAGGAAAGTTATTTTTAGTCCTCGGGCTTCTGTGTTCTCCGTACGTTCGAAAGTTTATCGTGCAAAGAAGTTCAGGAGTAAAGAAATTACAGGAAATAGGACTAATCTGATTTACGACAGAGGCTTTTATAATAACCAAATCAATAACTTTATAAGAATACAAGAAATGGAATGTACAGTGACTTCCTGGAAATAATTTTACTTCCTTAAAGTTAGTGTCCCTTAAAATACTGTCATTGAGCGTAGTTATATTTACACCAATTATAAAAGATATGAGATGATAATATTGCGTCATATTGTGATGATTATAATTGTTTAATTTTAACCGTCTAATCACAATAAAATATTTTATTGTGATTAGACGGTTAAAATTAAACAATTATAATCATCACAATATGACGCAATATTATCATCTCATATCTTTTATAATTGTTTAATTTTAACCGTCTAATCACAATAAAATATTTTATTGTGATTAGACGGTTAAAATTAAACAATTATAATCATCACAATATGACGCAATATTATCATCTCATATCTTTTATAATTGTTTAATTTTAACCGTCTAATCACAATAAAATATTTTATTGTGATTAGACGGTTAAAATTAAACAATTATAAAAGATATGTAAAAAAACTTTGTTGGATATTTATACCGTCTACTGGGACCACCTCATACGCTATTGTCAAGGTCACTGTTAGACACAGAAAGGCGACAGTCCTATTTTTAACGTGGTAGAATAAAAACAGTAACAGAGATCCAAAGAAGCAGAAATGTGTCGAATTTGCTACGACTTCGAGTCCCAATATTATAAAGTTTTCAGACAACTACGAAATAAGCATCCAATGAAATTAATTCACTTCTCAGCGCCTGTCCTCCGGAGCCGTTGTATTCCTGACAGTCACTCTTTATTAATCAATTATTTTTATGTACCCCCTTTTAATATTTAGATGGTGAGGCTGTTCGCTGGCTTGAAGCAGCGTCTTTGAGCGTCTGGTTCGTCGCTGTGGACGTCCTTGAATTCACTCTGCTTAAACGAATGTGCCTGTCTAAATCGGAAGATTGCCTTATTACGTACTTTCTTGATTTTAGAATGTAAAGACTAGACGTAAAATTAATTTAATAAAAGGAAACTGTTCAACATGGAAACGGAAAACAGGGATTAAACTGAAAACTTCCTGTCTATTCCTTAATATTCGTTGTTTCTGTTCCCATAATTTTATTACTCACTGTTCCAGCCAGAACGCATCTGAGAACGAAGATTATGAAAAATGAAGTTCGACAGCCGGTCGAAATATGCTCAGAATGACAGAATGAGATGAAATAAGGAAGGGACGAATGAAGAAAGAAACGAAGAAGGAATTATACACAAAAGAAATAAAATCCCAATAAATAAGGAACAGTAGCAATGGAGCGCCCGCGGTAGCTGTCCTCGAAAGATGTTTTATTCAGTTTGAGTGCTAAAACTCACCCCAGACATGGACGCTCCAGCCATGGTCCTTGTCCTGCTGCTGCGACCTGGCGGCGGCGGCTGCATTAGCAATCTCTGACTCGGGCAAGGTACGCCACCGTTTGAGCAGTTCCTTGGTTCGATCCTTGGTGCGGTCGCAAGCCTGGCGCCAGTTGGCGATAAACTTACGGGGGATGCGAGGAGACACCTCCTGCTCGGCCACGCCCCCGCGGGACTCCTGCTCTGACCCGCCGTCATGATTTTCTCTGCCCTCATGACTCCTGAAGCTGTCCTTGGCAAAACTCGAGCGTTTGCTGTCTCTCACGCTGTTCTGACGGCTCGCAGCACTGTCGCTCAACCCAGACTCCATGACGTCAGCCGTAGCTCACATCGTACAGCCGGGAGAATCTGGAAAACATTCGATTACACCAGTCGAGAAAAGCTTCGAGATCACGATCGAGTATCGAATCGTAGCGATAACGACAGATCGATTTCGCTTATAACCTAAAATTCCCGAAGAATTTACAGCATTTGATCGCACTCAAACTGCTTCAGAACAAATTGGATTATACCGAAATATTACCCTTAGTTTATTAGTGACATTTCTGTATTCAAATGACTCTAAATTAAATTATATGTAGAAGTTTTATACCGAAAGTAAGAGAGAGTTAAGTTAGGCCAAGCTGCATCATGGGGAAAAACACATGAATATCCCCAAGTTCTAAAAGAATAAAATAAATTTCTGACTTTATTTAAAGCAGTTGAATAGGGCAAAGCACATATTGATGGAAATTGTCACAATGATGAAATTAAAGAGGACAAAACTCAGAGCCTGCATCCTTCTACGGAGATCAGAAGCTTCTGTCCTTTTTCCTCCTGTCTTAAACCGTAAAATTAGTGTGTAATATTATTTGTTGTTCCATGCGTGTGTGGAACCTGGTCTTTATTCTAAGATATGAAGAATATAGATGGCGTGTCTGAGAAAAACGTGCTGAGGTGAAAATCTGAACCAATCAGAACAGAAGCAACAGACAGATGGAGACACAAGTACTTAATGAGGAGCTTCACAGTTTCTGTTGTTTGCCGAATATTCATTACGTAATGGAGATCGGTATATACAGGATTATTAATAATTCCCTGACACATTACAAAAAATCGCTAGACTTGAATGGTGCAATGGATGGTAACGTAGGACATGCCGATAGAAAGAGAAACTCTCCAAGTTTATTTTACATACCTCATAAATGTTATGTGTGTCCGTCCTCTGTGACGCGGCAGACATCACGCCGATAATCCATTTCCACCCACACCCACTGCAGCATGCCACGGCCGATTTGTGAGATGGCAGCGATGTTTCGTCTTCGCAGCTCATGCAGACCTCGTGACAGAGGCGGTACAAAGACCTGGTCCTTAAAGTACCCCCATAAGAAGAAATCACATGGCGTCAGGTCAGGTGATCGGGGTTGCCAACGAATCAGCGCATGGGTATTGAGCATTTATGAGGTATGTAAAATAAACTTGGAGAGTTTCTCTTTCTATCGGCATGTCCTACGTTACCATCCATTGCACCATTCAAGTCTAGGGATTTTTGTAAAGTGTCAGGGAATTATGAATAACCCTGTATGTAGCACGTAACAGGAATAAACTCATTTTTCACAGTTTTCTTTGGAAAACTGATAGTTATCCAGCTCGTGAAAAAATTCCAGTTTCAATATCGCCCTGAGGTTGATCACCGTGTTCACAATATCCCACCACTGAAGCATGTCTTGAGCCAGTTTAATCCAAAATATAAACATTCATTACAAAAATGTCTTCGGTAGTTTACCAGAATGTTGAAAGCTGTGACGATGCAGGTTGATGTGTCTGGACAGAGGCTTGGTCACAGCTGTAGGCTGTGGCTGGACACGCTCGTCCCATGAGGGGCGATCAAGCATGGGTGCACATCGCTCAAAGGACCTGACCGAGGAGTGAGCCAATTACGTCACATGACATCGGATGCGCTACTTTTTGACTGAAGCAGGCAGCGGCAAGACAGACAGCTGCCCCTCCGGCCTCGACTGGTAGTAATTTCGCTACAAAAACATAACTTCCAGGATTTCGATTGAGAATTCATAAAAACGCGTACCAAAGCGAAAATGTGTGCTGCAAAGGATTACTCGTGTTTTCTGAATTGCTTCTGTATACATCATAAGCTACCTCACTGATTTTGACGTCATTTGTCACACATACAAAATTATTGTTGCAAAGTCAATTGCACTGCGCAGTCAGAAACCAGTTTTCTCTGTGTAAAATACAGCATCCAAAGATTTTCTAATGTGCGTTCCACGTGCGTTTTCTCACAAAACAAGAGAAGTCTGCTAACAACATTTCGTGTGTCATCTTCGTCATCTTTCGGGCCTGTGCTATCATTTAAAAAATTCTTTACGTGTACTGCTTTATAATGTTATCATCTAACCCAGTGGTTTTCAACCTGGGGTACCCGTACCCCCAGGGGTACGCGAAGCTATCTTAGGGGGTACGTGAAATTTTAAAAAAAATATATATATATTATGTTATGATAAACACTGAATAATCAGTAATGTAATTTATTTAATTTATTTTAGATGTAGATTATATACTATGTATAACTTGAATTAAATACCAACTTTGGGGGTACAAAGTTGAAGAAAAATTATATATGGGGGTACGCGAAGACATCTTAGGGGGTACGTGAAATTTAAAAAAAATATATTATTTTATGATAAACACTGAATAATCAGTAATGTATTTTATTTTATTTATTTTAGATGTAGATTATATACTATGTATAACTTGAATTAAACACCAACTTTGGGGGTACAAAGTTGAAGAGAAATTATATCTGGGGGTACGCGAACAAAAAAGGTTGAATACCACTTATCTAACCGATGTCCCAGTGTGTGGTTAACCCTCAGACTACGACACACCGTAACGAAAACGAGACAAAAGACTAAAAGAAAGATAGAACAAAGTAGTCGACAAAAATAAACTATTTCAGAAACAATAGTCTACGTTACGTTACCTAAAGAGAATAAAGACAGAAAAGGGGGACTAATAAGTAGAAAAAAGAACTGAAGAGTGTATAAAAGATTCAGAAGTACGAGACGGACTCAAAGGCACTGAAGACGAAGAACAATACGACAAGATCAAGAAAGCAAAGAAGATAAAACAGAAACTTGTGTATCAAATCTAAAACTTCTTGACGATGGTGAAGAGTCAATTGAATAAAAATTTCCTTGGATATTATCCATCGTCTAGAAAATAAAATATAAAACGTAAAACGACGTTTCGGAGATGGGGCTCTATCTCCGTCTCCGGAGATAGGGATTAGCTCTATCTAGTGGGCCCAACTGTGTAGGAACCTGAAGACGGAGATAGAGTCCCATCTCCGAAACGTCGTTTTAAGTTTTATATTTACTAGACGATGGATAATATCCAAGAAAATTTTTATGAAACTTTGTGTTTAAGGATATATTGTGAAAGAAAGGAACTGCTTGAACAGTTTTTTCGGTTATTTAACAACTCTTCTTCGAACACACAGGTTGATTGGCACCGAATATCAGGACGAGTTGGAGAAAGCGGTAGTGGCCTGTCTTCAGGTAGTGCCCCAGGACTTTCCTGCAGGAACTGAGTAAAACCATGAAACTCCTCTCTCGTTATAGTCGGTTTCTTGACTAATACTCGAACCTGGGACCTCCTAAATGCTAATCAGAACTAGTAACCGCTGCACCGTGATATTCAAATTGATGACAGAAACAGAAAAAGAAGGCAGGGTAGCACAGCGTTCGAGAAGGACCAGTCGGTTGTGTGTTGAGATGGGTTAGGAGTATTACACTGTTTATTTAACGACGTCATTTCAACCGAATTCGTTACAAGGTGTCGAGCGGCAAGATGCTTGTTAATGATGAATTGTAAAGAATGTCGAAGGAAAAGGGCGTGGCCTATAAAAGCTATTATTCCACCCTGGAAAGGCAAAAGAAAACACCTAAAATCTCAATCAGTGTGGCCAGTTTCCAGGACTAGAATCGAGCCAGTGACCTTCCGTAAACTAACCAGGAGTGCCAACTCAACAACAAGGATCGCATTTTGGGTCTTTCGTGAAGATTGAATTATGTTTCCATAACAGCAAGGAATCTGCTGTAACAGTTGATAACCTGTGCAATTAAAGTACAAGCCTATTTGAAACTTCTGGGATGCCGCGTTGTATAGTATGGTCGACGTTTCAGAGGCGAGTTATTAACTAAATTTGGCAGAATTATAACTGTATTCTGATGTGACGTTTGCGTATCGTTCTCGTCACAAGAAATTACTTTGTGTTAATACATAAAAGGCAATGGAAATTGATACAATTTTCACAACGAACTGTAGCACCTGTCCGTGACTGTGATGCAACCCGCGTTACGGAAGTGTCGGAGAAGTAGTCGAAGATGCGCGGCGAACAGACGCCCGTAGTCTTACATCTGATTTCTATTGAAAGCTGAGTACTTCAGGAAATTTAGAATTTTCTCGGGTACTTAACGTGAATGGCTGTGTCTCTCAGTCTGTCACAAAAGCTACTTGAATTCTACAAATGCGGCACATTATGTCGGAAGATGTTATCTTGAACAGTAAACGTTGGAACGACAGCGTTCTTTCTTTATTGACGTAGGAACGATAACAGATCTTCGACGGTTTTCTAAAGAGAACTGCGGTATCATACAAATGAAAAGAAGTGATTTCTTTTGAACTCGGCCAATTGCCATCCAGATGAAGTCACTTATGTTCCTGACATTTGGTGTTCGCACGGCACAGAGGATGTGGATCATACTTCGCTCGTCTGTGATGCCGTATTATCTTAAAGGTAGAAAACATCGTGCTAAAGATGAAAGCGATATGTTCTTCCAGAACGTTTGTAAATACCCACAAGACCACACATCACAAACAAACGAAGGCTATCGACTGCGAAATCTATAAAAGAATTCAATATCGATTCTTAGTCTTCGCAAAAGAAACAATGAATAAATTTTCACTCAATTATGTTACGTTATTTATTTAATTACATGAATTCCTTATTGTGATATGTTTCGGATTAAATTTTCCCATATATTTTGGCAATTATTTTACTGTATGACACTTTTAGAAACACAATTTATGAAGTAAAATTTAATTATAAGTATAATTCAAAAAAATTAACTTAGCCCGACAACTTTTAGTGCAATTTCAATATCATTTGTTATCCGAAATGTGTTATTGTTGTTAAATTAAGCACGCTGACAGAAAGATAAACACAACTGCACTCAAAACACATGCAATTATGTCCATAGTGCCTTAGCCACTAACAGATTCTCAAATGTTTAAGAAACGTTCCTCTTATCATGTCCGAAGATTCATCAACTGAATCACAAAAGCCG